ATAGATATTATATCGAGATATTATATAAAAGATATGAATTTGAATACTGCAGATGACATTCGATTTGATTCGTTACTTTTTATTTTATTTTTCGTACCTACGGCTATTTAGTTTTGCTTGTTTTTAGCATATGTACACATTTAGACAAAGACACGTTAATAAATATGAATTATCGTTGAAAAGATAAGCAACTGTTGCACGATCGATAATTCAAGCCCGAATCCAAACGTACGTAATTATTATATAATTCTATCATATCTTCTGCAGTCAAAGAAATATCAGTCGCACGAATTATAAATAAATGTGTTTCTATATGTAACATTTTTACATTTGGTTCACAGCTACTGGAAAGAGACGATTTTCTTGGCACTTTCCTGTGGAAACTCGTTTGGCTAGAATTGACCGGCTAAGTTCGCAAACAGGAGGCGTCGCGCCGCTGCTACGAACCACCAAGTTCCGTCGTGATAATGATAAATGAGAACGCAGTAGTTTACGATTTAATATCAATCCACCGGGCCGGCTGCTTATTATCGACCATTAGGAAAGTTTTAATAACGCAATACGCCGCTGCCCAGCCCGGGGGTGGAACCGTCGCGATTTATCACTTTCATCGCTTTATTACCGGCCTGTTACGCTTTTACTTGTTGATCGTTCGCGACAAGATCACGAATCACCAGGGATTTTTATATTTTTCTTGTTTTTTTTTTCCCCCTCCTCTTTTTTGGCGTTGCCTGTTGACTAAGTTACGCTCAGTCGATCGATCGTCCGTAATCGGGCTCGTAAATAATTATTGAGTGCTGAGCGAACGTGGAAACGGGACGAAATGAACACTTTAAATTAAGAAAATTCCCAGCAGTCATGAAACGTTTACGAAATTACGAACAAGCAGTTATTCAAGGGGAACAAGTTCTCACGTTTACGGCACGACGTATCGATAATTAGTACCTAGTACTAATACTTGTTTTTGATTACTTGTTCACCTATATCTTTTTATATATTCAGTGACACGATAATTTACAACTGCTGAGAATTTACAATGCGACGGCGCCTCATTTGTAATAGCGTATAATTACACGCGAGAACCATTCGTAGATAGAAAACGTACGACCGTAGCTTCATGAATCTTGCAAATCCTGTCCCTCGTTTTATCATTTGGATTTTCAACTCTTTGTGCCTTGCCAACCATTATTCTATCTCCATGTTTAATTGATCTCCGCCATTTTGAAAAATTATCGAAAGTTTCTCGTGAAACTTCCTGCAACTTTTACATTTATAATCAAAACGTTCGTAACCAGCATATTCGTTTCCGACAATTTCATATACGTTTCCAAAATTCTTTTTTCACAGGAATTAAGTACTTTTAACCGAAAATTTATTTACACTATTAAATATTATAACAACTTCAGGGTATTTTTGATCAGTTTTGCAACTTTAAATACACAATAATTAACAAAATTTTACGTATGATTATAAAAATATTTAAAGATTGAAAATCTAGATCAGAAAATTTCATGTATTCCACCAAAGTAATAAATTCTAATATAAATATACAAGTAGTAAGTACCTGGAGTTAATGGTGAATAGACGAGAGTCAAAATGTTTCTCAAACGTTTCTTATGACATAGAAATCTTCAGAGACCGATCGATCTACGATATATAGGAATATTTCCAAATATTTGAGCGACCGACCAGCGAGATTCGACACGGTTTAAACGAGAATCCATGCGTGTCTGGATCCCCAAATCTACGACAGACCTCGGCTATTTTCGCATATATCCCGCGTAGAGGTGTTGGCAGCGGATCCATCCAAAGCGAAAAGCATGTCCCCGGAGATTCTATTTCGCTGCTGAGTCACGATCCCGCGTTTGTCGACGTGAAAAGGGGGACGACCGTGTCCTCCTTGGGGACACCCTTGCACACCTCCAAAGCCCTAGGTATCGGGGTCGACCTTCGTACGGATCGCTGTCATTCTTTGATCCTCCGCGTTGCTTCTGAAAGGTGGAAAAACTTGGACGAGGACACTAACTTGGTGAGGACACTTTGGAGACACGTCAATATGCAAGATTCGGTTGGTTCGTATGCTTCGAGAAGCTTGTTTTCTTTTGTAAAAGGTCAAAATAGATACGCGTTTGACTTAGGTATAATTTTTTGAAATCTGATCAACATATGTAACATTTTTCTTCATACGAATATTTGATATTTTGATTTAGAATTAAATATTGCACTGTCTTTAGCATTGAGTGCGGTGATAAATTGGCAAAAGGGCCATCCAAGATTACAGACAATATACGGAAAATAGCAAGAAGAATAATAATCATACGATCTAATAAAAAATTAAAAAATAAAATATAAAATATTAAAATATATTAAATATTTATTGTTTTCTACAGTAGCTTCGTTTCTATTAGGTATGGACTAGACATCATTTTCATTAATCAATAACACACCCTTTTAAAATAACTATTAAATCACTCATACATTTCTCTATTTAATTACTTGTATATAAAACAACACGACAATTATTCCTCAATCCTATCTCAAAACATTTTGATGTAAACTAACTAATAAACCTCTGACGCACAAGTGCACTCGAATCAACCAATCACTTCCTTAAAAAGTGATCGAGCATCTTTCATTGAGTGACAGACGATTTCAGTTTGAAATCGATGCGATCATTGGAGACGCGTGTTTTTGTTAAAACTCGTGCAGGAAGTAAACGACAAGCAACAACCAACAAGCTCGAAATCATTTCAGACGTACTTTACAATCGAAACGGTAGTTCCGTCTTGCACAGACGCGGCATTCGGCTGAAAAACAAAAGAAAATCGCGATAATTATCGGTCCACGGGCATAGTAACGACGTTAACGCGATTCGTCGTGACCCACGACCCGCGAGCAATTACCACCTGACATCGGTGCTTGAAAGCAATTTGCGTGCGGCGAGTAGGCTCTTCCGGCGACTAGCTGAAAAGAACTCGGACCCAGCGAGAAAAAGCCACGTTTATAGCGGCTTACGTCGACAGTCGGCCTCTTCGGACGAGGAAGAATGGCCGAGTGAGTCGTAAAAGTGATTCATCACCTTTCGCGGCTACGGCTCGCGTAGTCGTTAGCGACGATCCTCCTCCTTCTCCTCTTCTTCTTC